TGATCGTTTGTCATTTCCGCAGTGACTTAGTGACCCAGAGCTCTGCTGAGTTAGTGGAATGAGGTTGACCTTGGTTGAGAGGCACCCACAGTCATGTAGGGAAATGGTCATGAATGAGCATTCGATTGAGACTTGACCCCAGCACTCTGCCATGGACCCAGTGACTTGGTCTTGGTGGTGGAAGGTGGGCCACCGGGTGTCATGAGAGCCTCTGCTCTTTGGGGCAGGTCACTTAGCCAGATAGGAACAAACTGGCCTGTCCTCCCTCCCAGGATGCAGACGGATAAAGGATGTGGACCCCCTGGCTTAGCGTACAGGGTGATGTCACAGTTGGCTTTTCAGTGAGGGTTGGACTCACCGTGGATGACTCACAGAGCGTCATGCTTATGATTCTAATCCTTTCTGTAACTCGAGGAGTGTTCCTAACGGACACACGATCCCATTCTCCCTGGGCACCCACAGTCATGACTGTGGGTGCCTCTGCATGCAGAGGAGGAGGAGGGGACAGCCTGTAGATGAGCAGGTTTATCTGTAAGAAGTTAATCTTTGATGAGAGCTAGTCTAAAATCGACTGGCTGGTTGGGTAGGGGCTGAGTCCTACTGAAGGGATAACTAGAACCGGCCGAGCAGGGCCAGCCATCAGGTGAAACTGCCCGTGATGGAGAGGAGGCCCATTGGGCACAGGCTTTGGGCTGGAGTCTGAGAGCCTGGCACGCACTCCTGAAGATGCACAGCCTGGCCCTGGGCCGACTGGAGACGGGCATCTCATCCCTCCTCTACTACCGTGTAGGCTCAAAGGGGATGGGCGTGCCTGCTGTGGTCCTGAGAGCTGGCCGGTGTCCTTGTCTGATGGCGCTAGCTTAGGGAGACAGGCAGAGACAGTGTGACACACGCCCCCATCGGGAAAACGTGCCCCTGAAAATGGGCGAGAGGAAGGAAGGTAAATGAATGTTCAGATTTGATGTTAAAATATCCTAATTTTATGCTATTGCTTCAGAAATATTTAGAGAGATTTTATAGTTTTTGTTGTTGTTTTTTTTGTGTGTGTGTGTGTGACTTGACATTTAGTAAATATCTATAACATCCCAATTAAATGGTGTCTAAATTTAAAGCAGCAGTCAACAGGCAAAGCGCCATTTCTTTTTTAAAAACATATTTATGATAACACCTAGCTTTTAACAATCAACCAGAAACTAGGCTTGATTCTGTTTAATATTTTATATGATTGGACAATCTGAAGTCAATAATGTTTCTATTTTATAGCAATTCTGTGTTTATTCAAAACCATAATTCTCCTGTGATGTTAATGGAATGACTTTATATGGCTTTAATTGTGTTGGTTTAAGTGCTATGACCACATTTCCAATTAAAATAATATTTTTGCTGAAAGAGGTAGACACAGACATGAAATATGAAAGAATACACAATTTTACTGGTTGTAAAGTGTTTATTTCAAGAAAAAAAATGTTCTTTTTTCTTTTTTTTTTTTTTTTAGAGCTGTAAAAAAATATTTTTTCAAGGATTTAAGATAGTTTTCTGAACTCGGGGGGATTGGGATTTGTGCCTATGGAATTTTTGGAGCAGCCTACGCTTCTAGCTCGATATGTGTGCTAGAAAAATTTCATTTTCCTGTTTTGTGATATGTAATACATTCAGGGTGCTGTGCTTAAGCTTTGTTTTCATTCAAGTTCGGTAACATCTGTTTCCCTCGTTCCCAACCATCCTTCTCCGGGTCCCACTTAAAAGGGTCCAGGCAGTCCCTGACTCTTAGAAGGTGTGTTTCTTGCTGCAAGGAGCAAGCCAAACGTAACCGAGAATTGTACTAGTAAGCCTCTGCTTTCCTGTCTGGGAAGAGAGATGCTTTCTCCCCTCCTCTGATGTCTCTGTAATAAATATGTTGTCCTTGCTTGTCTTTGGGAACTGCCTCCCAGGCCACCTCTCGGTTTCCTCCATGATTTATGTTGCAAACAAACTCTCTGTCCTGTGTCTGTTCACTGCGCTCACCTGCTCTGGTGTATCGTTGACGACGTGCTGGAGACAGTTTTTGTTTTTATGATGCAATTGTGTTACATGTGTATTTCAGTGAAATGTCAACCCGTCAACAGAGGATGATGTTAAAAATTATCCAAATAAATAGTTTTCTATTCCTTTTCATCGGACCTAGTGCAATCAGTTGGACGACGGTAAATGGGGCTATTTGTTGTTATTTAACCTCCATGTTCCTGGCCCACGCTGCCCTGAAACAGGGATTAATACACATCGTTTACCTGGGGGTATTGACATGGTGCTTTGTCACCTCTGTTTATTTTGTGGGGGCAGCAGCAGGTCTCTCAAGCCGGGTCTCTTCTTGTCCGGGAGCCTCGATATCCAACAGCCATTTCTCTCAGTGATCCAGAACCTGACTTAGATTTTCTCCCCTTGGTAACTGTGCTCTAGAACAGTGGTTGGCAAACCACAGCTGTCGAGCCGTGTGTGGGCCTTTGGCCCCTTGAGTGTGGCTCTTCCACAAAGTACCTCTTGTGGGCGTGCACAAACAGTATGATTGAAGGAGTATCCTAATTAAGTTAATAACAATGTACCTGCCTATATAGTTTAAGTTTAAAAAATGTGGCTCTCAAAAGAAATTTCAATCATTGTACGGTTGATACTTGGCTCTGTTGACGAATGAGTTTGCTGACCACTGGCCTAGAAAATGCTGACTGAAGGAACCACAGGCTGTAATGCTGCCGGGCTCACCTTCCTGCACATGCCTGCAGCCCTGCTGTGTAAGGGCTTACACCCCTGACATAGACTTGCCTTGTTGATGTTTCCATGAGAGTGGCAAGTGGGTCCCCCTCCAAGCCCGATGACTCCCTGGGCTCAGACGTGCTGGACTTGGGGATCCCGAGAGAGGGAAACGGTGTGTACACCTGTGCATGCATGTGTGTGAGTACCTATGTGAATAAGTGTGAGTGTGTGCATGTATGTGTGCTAGTACATGTGTCTACGCATGTGGGCATGGGTATCTGTGTGTGTGCACGTGTGCATGTGCATCTGGTGCCTGTGATCAGAGGGACAGGAAAGGAAGTGGTGACCTCATTGGCACACCACAAACTGTTCCAGGTTTGGCTGTGGGACGTGTGCGACTTTTCCCCTGTGAGACCATGGCACGCCTAGCTAGGAACCTGAAAGCTTTGGCTCTGGAAGGCTCTCTCGCCCTCACAAAATGGAAAGACCCACTATCCTCTTTTCAAAGCCTGGTTCAGAGCAGGCCCAGGCTTATCTCCTAGGCGGGTGCTACTAGGGAGGAGGCCATTCTCAAAAAGAACCTGTTGGGAAGTTTTCATACAACTTTATCTTCTACATCAGTGTTTCCCAAACTTTTGACATATGTGTACCCCTTCTTTAATTTTTGTAATGCTGAGTACCCCTCGTACTCATGAGAATGTAGAATTAGGCGCAGCTAAGCACGGTGCAGTGCATATCCCCACCAAACTCCGGTGCAACACGTACCCCCACCAAACTCTTCCAGTACCCCTGGGGGTTCGCGTACCACACTTTGGGAAACACTGTTCTACATGAACGTCAGCACCACTGGTGTCTGCAAAGACCAGTCTGAGCATTCCCACACCAGTGGACCCAGCTGGACCTGCCCATGTCCCCTCCCCCCCTCCCCCCCTGGCCACTGCTGGGCCATCTCAAGTATGGTCACCAGGCTCCGTCTGTGTCCTGTGCCCACCGCTGCTGGGGATTGTGGAAGAAGGACAGGGAAGAGGTCTCCCTGACAACCCACACTCGGTCCGTCCTTGTCCGCAGACCGCCTGGCGTGGGCGTGGTAGCCGCAGGCGGAGCCCAGCACAGCCAGCCTCTCATGGCTGCTTGGTTTGCGGGCTGGCTGGCAGCAAATGAGGGTGCCACCCCCATACACATGGGCAGCCTTAGGCCTGGAGCAGAGAAGACCAGCCTCTGCCAGGTGCAAGTCTTTTTATGGAAAAGGGTAAATTTGCTATTGGGTGCCCCTTGGTCTCTGAGTCAGCATGCTTCTTTTCTTCAAGCTGATGGTCACAACGTCATCCTGTTCTCAGAGCCAGGGACTGTCCTGTCCCCGTATCTGGCCCATATGCACCCCAAACGTTTCTCTGCGGAAGCTGGGGACAGCAGAAAGGCTTCTCGCAGGCCCTGTCCCCATGCAGCCCGGGGCCTAGGACAAGGAAGGCCAGTGAGGCCTCAGGGAAGGCAGAGTGTCTGTGAGGGGCCTGGGCATCAGAGGTGGGGCCAGCACAGCCTCCGAGGCTGGTGAGCCCCTGTCCGTGTGTGGCCATCTTCAAGAGGATACCCGGCTGTTGGCGAGGTCTTGGCAGGAGCACGGGCTGCGGCCAGGGTCCCCTGATGGCCCGGAGGCGGCTCTGCACAGCGGCCCAGGTCTGTGTGCATGCCGGTCCGTTCTGTCACGTCCTGAGTGTGCTGGTGGTGGCCGTGTGTTGTGTCTCTCCCTCGCTCCCATGCTTTTCAGCAGAACTAGTGGCCCTGACAGCTGCTGGGCTACTTGCCCTCCGGCACTGGCCCCTTGGCTCCCTCATCCTGGACACCACCAGCCAGCCCTGGCCACCTCCCTGCCCAGCAGCCTGGCCTGGGGCCTGGGAGATGGCACTCTGCAGGACATCCTTCCGCAGACTGGTGCTTGGACAGGAGCATGGGCTCTCGGCCATGACAGACCTAATACTAGTGACCGGGAGCTGTCGCCTGCAAAGGGAAGGGGGTGGAGCATTTGCAAAGGAGTTTCCTAAGTTGGGCCTTGAGCATCCCAGGTTCAGACCATCTCGAACCATCTCGAACCCCTGACCACACCCTACAACCCTGAAGCCGCAGGGACCCCCGTTACCCTCAGACAGCGGTCAGTGTCCCAGGCTGTCCTGGGGAGACGCTTCCCTCCCACAGCCCAGCCGGCAGGAGCGGCGCCCGGACCCAGGCGGGGCCAGAGTCCTTGCCTTCTGACCTGTGTGCCGTTCTCCTTGATCTAGGCGGGGCTGAGGACGCTGCACGACATCGGGCCGGAGATCCGGCGGGCTATCTCGTGCGATCTGCAGGACGATGAGCCCGAGGACACGAAGGGAGAAGAGGAAGATGTAATCAAAGTAATTATTCCACGCACAGCTCCGCACCGGCCGCCGGGGGGATAGGGGGGCAGGGCTCCAGTGGGGGCAGTTAATGAGCCGCAGCAGTGCCCAGAGAACCAGCCCCGGAGCGTAGGGGGCTCTCGGACCATGCCCTCCCCAAAGCAGCCCTCCTCACTCACCAGCATCTCCTCTAGGGCCCGGCCTGCCTTGCCACCTGGCTCCTCTGCCCCACGCTGGCAGCTCCCATGAGCTTGGCCACAGCTGCCGGCTGGAATGGATGAGCATCTGGGTGCTTCCGGCAGCCCACACAGCCCCCCGTCTTCTCCGGGCAGTTCTTTGAGCTGCCAAGGGCCCTCAGCCTCCCAGTCCCCCAACCCTGCAACCCAGGGAGCATGTCTGCCACCCAACCTCACTCTCAGGAGCTGCCAACCAGCCCTGCTGGGTGTAAGTCACCTCAGCTTGGAGCACCTGGAGGCGCACGCGCAAGTGACAGCCGAGAGCTTGCTCCTCGGCTCAGGAATTGGTAACCTTCCTCGTTTCAGGGGGACCAGCCCCCATGCAGACATGTTGAGGCCCTCAGGTCATTCTCCAGGGATCCTTCGGAGCTTGCCTAGGATTTGTTTTTCATGTAGAAGAAAATTACCTGACGTAGCTAAGCCTGCATCAAATGCTTGTTAAATTACCTGGTGTTGTCTCCCATTATTTTGCAGAGAAATGGTGCCCTGCTTGGAAACCATGTCAATCATGTTAATAGTGATAGGAGGGATTCCCTTCAGCAGACCAATACCACCCACCGTCCCCTGCATGTCCAAAGGCCTTCAGTTCCACCTGCAAGTGATACTGAGAAACCGCTGTTTCCTCCAGCAGGAAATTCGGTGTGTCATAACCATCATAACCATAATTCCATAGGGAAGCAAGCTCCCAGCTCAACCAATGCCAATCTCAATAATGCCAATATGTCCCAAGCTGCCCCCGGAAAGCAGCCCAGCACCGGGAGCCTTGAGCATGTGTCTGAGAACGGGCATGATTCCTCCCACAAGCACGAGCATGAGCCTCTGAGAAGGTCCAGTCGGAAAAGGTAACCTTCACCGTGTGTTGGCACTTGGTGGTGCTGTATCTGCTCCCCACCCGCCCCCATGCGCTGGCGCAGGCAGGAGGTTCCCAGCGGACGCTGGCAGTGGAGCCTGTGAGTGCCACGCGGTGATGGCCGAGCTGCAGGAGGGCCCTGAGAAACAGCGGGCCCCGGCCATCCTGTATCCTGCTGAGTGATCCTCTCCTTAAAATGGCAGCGGGCGCAAACTCCACCCTCCCCCATTGTGCCAGCAGACTTGGGGCCGGGCTGGCAGACCCTTCCTGGGAAGGGCTAGACGGCAGGTGGGTGAGACTCTGAGCACCTTGCAGTCCATTGCGGTGACTGAGCTCTGCGGCTGTGGGAAGGAAGCAGCCATGGCAGCAGGATAAACATTTTATTTTGGACACTGAAATGTGAACATGATAGAGTCACGGGTGAAGAAATATTCTTCTTCCTTTGGTGGTGGTCAGTGGTTTAGAAACGTAAAAACCATCCCTAGGTCATGGCCATACGGAAGCCGGCGGCAGCCGTGTGTGTCCCGTGACCCACAGTTTGCCAGCCCCGCTCTCGGTAGCAGCCTGGGTGACTGCACTTCAAATTCTGTTGGAAGTGTGTAACGTTTCTCTTCCCTCCCTCCCTCCCTCGCTATGCGTTGCCTGGATAGAGCCCGCTATTATGAAGCTTACATTAGGTATGTGCCCCTGCCTGTGTTGCTGTGTGAAATGCTGTGTGCTATACGTGTGACCAGCTGGCCTCTCTGAGTGCAGAGAGATGAGACGTTCCCGCGATATTATAGCTTAGGGCTGGGCACTCAGGAGTCGGGGGGGGGGGGGGGGAGCAGGAAGGGAGGGAGTGGCTTCTTTCTGCCACACACCAGGGGTGGGGAACGTCTGGCCTGAGGGCCATATAAGGCCTGTGAAATGGTTTGGTCTGGCCCTGCCAAGGCATTAGAGGTGAGTTTATTAAATATTTGACCAAATAGAACAGGCTAATTTAAAATATATATATTTTATTGATTTGTTACAGAGAGGAAGAGAGAGGGATAGAGGATTAGAAACATCAATCATCTGCCTCCTGCACACCCCATACTGGGGATGTGCCCACAACCAAGGTACATACTCTTGACCGGAATCGAACCTGGGACTTTTCTTTCAGTCCGCAGGCCGACACTCTAACCACTGAGCAAAACCGGTTTCGGCGAGCAGGCTAATTCTTAAGTCGATAGTTCTGTATGGCCCGTGGATGACGGTATCAATATCCACATGGCCCTTGGCAGAAAAGGGGTTCCCACCCTGGGACCATTGCCACCCAGGGACTGGCATTCATGTGCCAGGTGCCCACAGACCAAACCCTGAATTCCTCAGATGGCACAGGAGAGCCGCTGTGCACAGTGCCCGGGCCTGTGACACTGGGCAGCGGCTGCTGCTTTCTGGGGTCAGGCCTCCTGGGGGCGTTGATGAGAGCAGGGCCCGACATCCAAGAGACCAGGGGCCACCTTTGCTCCTTTGCCTCCCACGCAGCCCTCAGCACGTGCAGTGTCACCTGCTCCGTGTCTGCTGAGCGGGTGGGAGTGGGCAGGATGGTGGGTTGCTGGCAATGGGAGGAGAGGTCCCTGGTTTAACAAGTGAGATCTTGGGCCCGAGGCCAGGGAGAAGGTACAGTGCTCAGCACTCAGAGGGGGCGCATCCTCTCTCTGGAGGGAGCAGGCCTCTCCCTGGAGGGCAGCAGTGTCCCGGAGCGGCTGGTTTCCCGAGGACCCAGGCCCGCACGGCCAGGCTTCGGGGCAGCATGACGATGGTCTCGGGGCAGCGGGCGGGCTTGGGAGACGTGGTGGACATCTGCATGAGAGTCTCCCCGGGGACACTGCGTCCAGAACTCCCATCACCCGGGCGGGTCAGATGCAGCAGGAAGTGCGTGGCCAGGGAGTCTCTGTCCCAGGCTCTGGAGTCACACATGGCCCAGGCAGGGTGGCACAGAGATCAAATAGGCCTGGAAGCTCAGTTTTTCCCCTGGGACTGCTGGTCTCTAGGTCCCTTTTCATGCTCTGTTCCCCAAACTGCATCATGGTCTGGCATCAGCGTTATGCAAGGTACTGAGAGAGAAACTTCTGGTGTACACACACACACACACACACACACACACACACACACACAGACACAGACACAGGCACACAGACACGTACACACACAGGCACACATATACACACACAGGCGCGCGCACACACACAGGCACACAGGCACGTACACACACAGGCACACACACAGGCACGCAGACACGTACACACACAGGCACACACGCAGGCACACACAGGCGTGCACGCACACACACACACACACACACACACACTCACACAGGCACAGGCACTGTGTGTGCTGTTGCCAGTGGCCTTAGGCCAGCCCTGGCGGAGGCAGGTTGCCCAGGGAGAAGCCGGTGCATGGGCAGGAGGCGGCTGCGGGTGGAGGCACAGCTGCAGGATGTGGCTGCCACCTGCCAGGTGCTGACGTCCTCTCTCCCCAATGCAGGTCCGACTCGGGAGACGAGCAGTTCCCCACTATCTGCCGGGAGGACCCAGAGATCCCGGGCTACTACAGGGACCCCCGCTGCCTGGGGGAGCCCGAGTACTTCAGCGGGGAGGAGGACTACGAGGAGGACAGCTCGCCCGCCTCCAGCAGGTGAGGGCTCGGGGCCCGGGCTGACGCAGGAGGCCTGGCTGCTGCCCGCCCTTGGTGCTCTGCCTGCTCCGGAAGCCACGGCCACCTGCCGCTGCACCAGGGCCCTGGCTCCAGGCCGGGAGCAAGCCTGAGAAGGGGAAATGGCCAGAGGGCGGCCGAGTGGAGACTGTCCTCCGGGGCTGTGAGCATTTCCCCCAGGGCCTGTGGGGCCTCTCAGCGAGGGTCCGGACAGGAGGGCTGGGCCTGGGTGTGCAGGGTTAGATTTCACCCGTTCCTTGTCTGCTGAGAGGCCTGCTATTTGGTGAGCGCCGCGCACGCTGAGCCAGGGCTCTGTCTGCCAAGAGCTCTGCCAGCCCATCGCCCAGCGCCAGGGAGGGAGACTGGGTCATAACGAAGAGCACCTGCTTCCCCGCTCTCACCAAGGGTCACTCAGCAGGGCTGCCTCTCCGGGCTTCTGTTCTGAAGGAAGAATGTCTGAGGTTAAAAGGGACACATCGCGGGCAGCATAGGGGACAAGACCACCTGCCATCCTCTTCTCTGTCGATTGCATCTCACCAGGACCAGGTGGCCACTGGGTGGCCGTGGTACTGCCTGAGGTCCCTCTGGTGCAGGAGTTGTTACTGTTAGCCGTGTACCCAGGCAGCATGGCCGGGCCTCACGCCCCTTGCCGTCCCCTCCACCAGTCCCTCCCGCCAGCCCCACTTCCAGAACCAGTGATCCTGACCACGTGGGCCCGACCTCCCTCCTCATTGCCCCTGCACCCCACGCCCACCACTTGGCCACCCTTTCCCGCTCGGCTGGCCTGTCCCACCCTCTCTTCAAGGACCTGCTCCAGGCTCTGCTGCTCATTCCCTGAATGGCATTGATGTGCCCTCGCCTCAAACGCACCGCCCTCCCGGGCCCCTCTCCTCAGGCGCCGGCCTTTTCCGTCTGCGTGAGCTGCGTGCATGTGGCATCAGTTCAGCTCCCAAGGGGAAGGCCGTGCTTCGTGCACCTTCTTGTCCTGGTGCCCAGCCCAGCCCAGGGCTGAGGGCAGGCGCTCGGAGGGCTTCTCCAGGAGGGAGTGAGCAGGTGATCACCCAGCTTGCAGGAAGGCTGCGCTCCACCTGTGCCCCGGGCCTGAGGCTGCCCGTCCTGGGGGAGCCCCCAGCACTCCATTCCTCATAGGCCTGCATCCTGGGTCAGCCCTGGTCCTCCATCTAGAATCTTCTGGGAAGCAGAAGGCTGCCTTGTTCTCAGCGGGTCCTGCTGGGCCTGTGGAGCGGGGGGAGGGCTGCAGGGGGCTGGGAGTGTCTGAGCCGATGGGAAGCTGTTAACTGGGAGCTCATGTCCCCCTTCCTCTCCTTCCGCCTCTGACCACCAGGCAGAACTACAGCTACTACAGCCGGCGCCCGGGCAGCAGCCTGGATTTCGAGCGGCCCCGGGGCTACCACCACCCCCACGGCTTCCTGGAAGACAACGACTCGCCCATTTGCTATGATTCCCACAGATCTCCACGGAGACGCCTACTACCTCCCACCCCGACAGGTGAGGCCAGGTTTTTTGTTTGGAGTGAAGCCTCTCCACATGCCTCTCCCTGGGCCCTGGGGGTGGAGAGTGGGGTGGGGGGGAAGGTGATGACGGTTGAGGAGCTGCCATGCCGGGACCTTTAGCCCTCAAGGCCAGGCCCTGGTGGGCGATGCTGTCGGCTCTCCCTTCTCATCCGTGTTCCTGTGTCAGAGCTCAAACCCGTCCACCTGCTCTGGCCCCGGGAGCGGAGGAGGCAGCGTGCTGCCTGGGGTGGCACCGCGGGGAGGGCCTTGAAGGGCCGTTTTGCACGTCTCCCTTGCCTTTGAGCCGGGGTCCACCCTCAGGGAGCAGGAGGTGCAGCACTGCTGTCTCAGACCCACTCTGGGGGTCCGGGTTGTGACCCTCAGGGCGGAGGGATGGAGCTAGCCTTAGCGCTGGTCTGTTTTGCCTATGGGCGCAGGGTCCCTGGGGTTCCTGGTGTCTGCTCCTCAGGCCACACCAGGTGTCTCCTTCCTCCCCCTCCCGCCCTCCTCCCTCTCTCCGTTGCCTCTGGTCTGCCAGTGCCCTCTACCCCCTGGGGCAGGTTTTGGCCTTGGTGGTGAGCTCTAGGGTTGGCTCCCATCCTGGGGCCGGGAATCCCCTCCCACTGAGCAGGGGGCATGACTGGCCCTGCCTGGAGATCTGGGTGACTCCCCACCCCCTTCCCGTCCCCCGGGGGGAGCTCAGGCAGCAGCAGGCCTGCCAGCTCCTGCCGGGCCGTTTGATGTCGGACATGAGGGCATTTGGTGATGGTTAACGATCCACTTCCAGTGTGTCTAAGGAGTGAAGCATATCTTTGGATAGGACTTGAATCAGTAACCAAAAAATAGCCAAGACACATCGGCTCCCACTCTGGCGACCGCACACACAATACCGACCGTGGCAGGGAGGCGCCAGCCCTCCCTCTCCAGCTGCCACTCCCCGGCCGGGCGTGCAGTCAGACCATCTCCATGGTTAATGTTTAATGTCGCACCCTGACCACAGGGCACCCTGGCCTCCATAAACACTGGCTGACGCACATGCAGCGCGGCCGGGTGGGGGTCGTACCTGCGAGCCCACGGCCTTCCCTTTGGCGGCTGCGGTAATGCCCGCCGTGCCCAGGTGCCGCCCTCGGGGGTGAGGATGCGAGTGGGCAGGAGCAGTTGCCCCTTTACCTGCAAGGGCAAACAACGCAAATGTCTTTTATTTGCTTTACTGCCTGCAGGTTCAGAGCTTGGGCGGGGCGAGCATGGAGCTCCCCAGCCCATATGCTCAGCCTCCAGAGGGTGACTCCCTCCAGCAGAGATGGGTGTGGCCCTATGAGAGGAAGGCGGGGTGTGGGGGGTGGACCCCTTTTCAAACCTGAAGGGCACTATCAGGGGGAGAGGGTGTGGTTTTCCTCTCCTGGCCCTGAGGCGCGCCCCACCCCTCCCATCTGATCCTGGGCTACCACGGAGGCCCTTCCTCCTCCGAACACTATGAATCCGGCCCCCCAGGAGGCTGTCCCATGAGGAGGCCCAGCAGCCCCGCAGTGCGCCTGGGGCCTGGAGGCCAGGAGTGCTGCCTGCCTGTTCCTCTGGGCTCCGTGCGCTCTGGGGGCAGGGCCTCAGAACCGCTGGTGTGCGCAGTTCCCAGGACAGGAATGGGAGGGGGGGGGGGCTGTTAGCTTAGGGAGCTGAGGTCACAGAAGGAACTGTTGAGGAGCCTGGCCAGGTGGGCTCCTGAAACGCCTCCCGGTTTCCCAGGGCAAGGCCCGTGGCCTGTGCTGGGGACCCGGATGGCTCTCGGGTGCCCGGTGCCCTGAGAAGCTACCAGCTCTGGACCTCTGGCCCTCGCTCACCTGCTGCTAACAGGACAGGCCGCTCTTTAGAGCCAGAGGTGTCCTTCTGTCCTGTCCTGTCCTGTCCTCAGTGCTGGGGAGCTGGCTCTTCCCCCAGGACGTTTCTCATTCCCCTCCGAGCTGATAGGGAGCGGGTCCCTCCCTTTAAGGCGGAGGTGTGAACCCAGGAGCCTGGGCAGTGCCTCAGGCCTGGAGGTGAGAGTGAGCAGGCTGTCAGCAAGCGCCGTGGTCCAGGGCCAGGCTGTGCTCCTGCCTGAGAGGCCGGGTTCCCCCCACAGGGGCTGCAGCACCCGCCTGGGAACAGGCATGGCGCTTGCAATTAAAACCCTCAGGGGGCTTCTTTCTCACCCCCTTCCAGAGGCCTGAGGCCTCCATACTGACAGTTGGACGGTTGGAAGTATGGCTTGCTGGCCTTGGTGGGCCACGGGCTCCTGGGCCCACAGCCGCTCCCACAGCTGCTCCTGTGCTTTCCCCTCAGCGCATCGGAGATCCTCCTTCAACTTCGAGTGCCTGCGCCGGCAGAGCAGCCAGGAGGAGGTCCCGCCGTCCCCCACCTTCCCCCACCGCACGGCCCTGCCTCTGCACCTGATGCAGCAACAGGTGAGCCGGCCCCTGGCCTGCCCTGTGGCTCCACGGGCACCCTGGGTGGGACGCCCCCCCAGAACACCCCGTTCCTCTTGGCTGCCGCTCCAGGGGGAGGGAAAGAACCTTCACATAACTGGGTTCCACTGTGGAACAACCCTGTGAATAGACGGCTATCATCCAACCCCTCCTATGGGTGAGAAGACGTAGCTGAGGGGGTGAGTGCCCGAGCCCACACGGGAGGTGAGTGACCATGCTGGCATCTGCCAAGCTGGGCTCCGTGTAGGCACAGTCTTCTCCCCACGTGACCCTCAGCGTGGAAGACAGGGCCTGGGCACAGCTCACGACGCGGGGAGTGGCGGCCACTAGCCCAGCCTGAGCAGCCGGCAGCCCTTTATCTGCTCTGAGAGGCTCTTCCTTCACTCACGGAGCCCTCAGGGCAGGGCTCTGTGCTCATGGGGCTGGTGAGCCCCCAGACCTGCCTGCAAGGAGAGTGTGGCCCAGGCAGCAGGACCCCTCCACGGTGAGAGTGCTGGACAGGAGGGAGCGGGGCCAGAGCCGCTCACCGGGATTTTACTTCAAGGACACGGACATCGGAGGGGCTGTCCACTGGGAGGCGGGAGGGGAGGGTCAGGCGGAGGGCCTACCTCATGGGGCCACCCGCTCTGTGACCCCTGAGCAGGCCTCGGGCAGGTTTCCCATCCTGAGCGTCCGAAGCACGTGAGAGGTAGCTGCCATTTCAGATTGTCTATTTGCGCCTCTCTGCCAGCTCCGGACTCCTTTGTCTTTAGTGTTTATGTTCATTTTGATCTGTGTCCTGCTTCGTCCAAGACAAAGGACAGACCTGGGAAGGCCCAGGCCATCGAATGCCACGATGCCTTCCCTCGCTGCACCCCTGGCAGGCCCAGGTGCTGGCTGCGCGGCTCCCTGGAGGGCATGGCTTTGGTGTGGCCAAGGGCCTGTGCTGCACACCAGCCTGAGCCGGGGGTCCCCTGAGCAGAGTGCGGATGCCCCAGAGGTGGAGAAGCAAGGCCTGTGCCCGGGGCCTCGGCACAGGCAGAGCCGGCCGTGGGCACGTTGCCAGAGCAGAGAACGTGGCGTCCCTGCGCATGTGCCCTGAATGTACTTGCACATTCACAAAGAGCGCTGGCTGCCATGGCCACACGCCCAGCTTGTATGTCTTCCTGGTGCTTCGTCCTTCAGAAACCATTTGTTTTACTTGGGAACGGCTGTAGGAAATGGATTTGGGGGGAAAGACAGTACCATCCATTGGAAAGCTGAATTCCCACTGTGATCAATTGATTTATTCAGCGAGCTGTCACAGCCCGCAGACAGGGCCTTGCGGTGAGAGGCCCGAGCCCGGGCCGCTGAGGACTCCGGTCTCCCCGCTCCCTGTCTCCTCAGGTCATGGCAGTTGCGGGCCTGGATCCAAGCCGAGCCCAGAAGTACTCGCCGAGCCACTCCACCCGGTCGTGGGCCACCCCTCCGGCCACCCCTCCGTACCGGGACTGGGCGCCGTGCTACACCCCCCTGATCCAGGTGGAGCCCTCGGAGGCCCTGGACCAGGTCAACGGCAGCCTGCCCTCCCTGCACCGCAGCTCCTGGTACACGGACGAGCCCGGGATCTCCTACCGCACCTTCACACCAGCCAGCTTGACCGTCCCCAGCTGCTTCCACAGCAAAAACAGCGACAAGCAGAGGAGCGCGGACAGCCTGGTGGAGGCAGTGAGTGGGCCAGGCACAGCAGGGGCGGCGTCCTGGGAACCACATGGCAGGAGCGGGCAGCCCATGCCCGCCGCCCACAGGGAGGGCTGAGGGCGGGAGGGTCTGGGGCCAGGCTACCTCGCTTCTGCTCTGGACTCCGCCCACTTAGTAGCAGCTCGGAGGGTGCCCACAGCATGTGTACAGACCCACTTAGTCATTGCCAAGTCTCAAACAGCAGTCCCTGGGACCACATGTGTGTTCCCGTGACCATTACCCGTGTGCTCTGAGAGTCTTGTCTTCCCCAGAGGTTTTCCTTCTTGTCGGGCCGTGTACAGTTTGTGAGCTTCAGGGTATTTCAAAGCCAAAGCCATTTCCACTGACATGTAGTTACCCACCATGAGATCGGGCGAACGCGGCCGGCAGCGTTGGTGCAGTCAGTGCTTGAGGTGGTTTCTGTCCTTTTCAGCACATTCTTTTCAGCACACTCACGCCGTCCGGCCTCTTTCCCGGGCAGGTCCTGATATCCGAAGGCTTAGGGCGGTACGCGAGGGACCCGAAATTTGTGTCGGCGACAAAGCACGAAATTGCCGACGCCTGTGACCTCACCATCGACGAGATGGAGAGCGCGGCCAGCCACCTGCTGAACGGGACGGTGCACCCCGGGGCCAACGGGGACGTGAGCCCCGACTCGAGCCGGCAGGACTACGAGCTCCAGGACTTCGGGCCAGGTTACAGCGACGAGGAGCCAGACCTGGGGAGGGAGGAGGAGGACCTGGCGGATGAGATGATCTGCATCACCACCCTGTAGCCCTCTCGGGGGAGGGGTGGACTGGCTCTGCCCTCGGGCGGGGTGTGCCCGAGGGCCAGGGAAAAAGTGCCTCATAGTTAGGAGAGTTTAGGCACTCGTGTGAAGTCCGTGTTCCATTAGACTTTTGGGCAGGTGATAGGTCACGCCTCAAGGAAGCCATAAACCCATAGGGAATAGCCGTGCTCGGGGCTGAGCCCCAGCTGCGGGGGACAGCAGGAGGCCGGGCGCTAGGCAAGCCTACCCTCCTGCTCGCAGCCCACGTGGGGCACCTCCCATGCCCGCCACCCGCAGGCACGGTGGGGAAGGTTCCAGGTGATGACGATCACCGTACCTGTGTCATTACCTCAGCCATCGGTCTAGCATATCAGACATTCACTGGGCCCAGCATATCCCTCCTCCCAGACGCCCTGTTTCTGGTTCCTGTTCTGAAATGCAGTCAGTCAGGGCTCCCCACCAGCTGTCCTCCATCCGCAGAGGGAAGCAGGACCTCGCAGGCACGGTTTTCTGTCCCGTGACGCCAGTTTGCATGGGAGCGGGCGCCGTACAGACGGTCGGTTTCCGACTGTTGGGCAAGGGCAGCCGTCAACTGGAATCCTAATGCACTCGCAGCCAGATCAGCTTAGGTACGCTAGTTTGTTTCACACAAAGACTTACTGTACAGGACTTGTAATATACGACAATTTGTATTTGTAAAGAGATGGTCTATATTTTGTAATTACTGTATCGTATTTGAACTGCAGCAATATCCAATATGGGTCCTAATAATGGTAGCGCCCCCGCCAAGGTCTAGAAATCGTTGGAACTTTTACTCGGACTAAACGGAAGTAGGAGAAATTGAGCCAATTCTCATGTATGCAGCGAGCAGTCTTTTTGGGGGGTGAAATTTTAAGTTCAAAAGAACTTGACCCGACATAGATTTTTCTAAAGTATTTTGAGTCCCTCTAAGAGATACCTGACGACTCTTTGCGGTCTTCTCCCTGAGCAAGAGTGCTGTGGTTTGAGAAGAGGACCTTTCGCTCCACCACGGGTGGTTTTACTTTAACCCCCGAACCGTAAGTTCAGGACAGGCCTGACCCCGTGGCGGGTTTTCTCACCTGCCCCTACAGGACATTTTTGCAGGTGAATGAAGTCCCTCTGCTCGTGTCCCCTGGGCAAGGCGAGGCTGCGTGTCTTAGGAAATAAGGGATGTTGGGGGTGGAGGGTAGAGGGAGCAAAGTGACGCGATCCTTAGAGGGTTAGAGGGCCGGGGTTTGGACAAATAGTATTGTTGCCTTTTTACAACACATTGCTGTGCTGTGTGTTCTCTCCGAGGGCTTTTATATGCAACTGAATGAGGGTTGACGTTTTCACTTGACTGCACTCCCACAGCGATTGTACTTCCTGAGAACACCCACTTTGGGACCCTTAGACCCGTCAAGGCTTCCTTTTCTGTTCCCGGAATAACACTGACTTTGTCAAGTTACCTTGGCAGGGGTTCTCTGCAGTCAAAAAACAAAAAACAAAAAACAAAACAAAACAAAACAAAAAACAGGTAGCAATTTTTGGGTTCAACGTTTTTAAATTTTAAATAGACAACCTGTTGATGTTGATTTTTTTTTTTCTTTTTTTGTAAATAACACTTTGTTATGAAGACCTTACAAACCTCTTCTTAAGACATTCTTACTCCAGATCCAGGCAAAAACTCTTCAAGGTTTGTAAATGATTATTTCTTGACGTAAATTCTTTTTTAATTAAATGTAAAATGTTCTTCAGAAGAAAATGGTGTAATAACTTTATTGTATTTTGGGGAGCTCTCCCTGCAAAGAGCTGGCGTTTGCCGGTGAGAGCTTGGGAGGGGCAGGCACTCTGTGAGGGCAGTTCTGTAATTGTGTAGACTTTTTCCTTCTTCTCGTCGCTCCTCCTCCGTCAATGCCTATGGTAACTTGATACCAGCTGCAGAGAGCACTGTTTCTCCTAAAGGGCTAAACCACTGTTACCATCTCCTCGGACTCTGTTTCTCTCTTAGGTATTGGTCTCATTGTGTGGCTCACAAGTCCAGCATTGCCTACCAGGACTGGCTTTTCTGGCATAGGCCACCATGTTTTCCAGTCAGTACTTAACAATGGCCATTCTTACGGGCTGCACCACTCCTAACCTCTGTCTGCTTTAAGCCTGGTTCAACCTCTCACCTAACATTAAATTTTTCTTTGTAAGAAAAATTTGAAGTTGTAGAGCATGGTTTGTTTGGTTTTTCCTTTGTTTTAGGAAAGTTTTATGATTTAAATGCCTTTTGTTTTGGTTCCCCTTCCATCCCCTAAAAAAAAAAAAAAAAAATACCACTTGGTTGTGTCCCCGGGAAGTCTTTAGTTTCTTTAATCTGTTTTTTTCCTGGTAGCACAACATGGAAATGGAAGCTCTGGTGTAACTATCAACAAGCAAGAGTCCCGTTAAGAGTCTCCGCGGTTTGCATCCACGCGTGGTGGGTGGTGCTTCCCAGGTCGATTTCAAAACGTTTCGGCTTTAGCCCAAGGCCCGGAAGGGTGGGTGGTGAAGGCAGGAAGCGCCTCGGTGCACAGTGTGGGCTTGGCCTGCTGGACGAGCCCAGTCTATTGCTGACCCCACGCAGGTGAAAGCAACCAGGGCCGCGTGTGTTTGTTGCTTTCATTGGCTGCACCAGTGGTCGGCAGCCAAATATCAACAGTACAACGGTCGAAACTTCTTTTGAGAGCCACATTTTTAAACTATAAAGGTAGGTACTTTGTTACTAACTTAATTAGGGTAAGCCTAAGCTGGCCTTGGCTAAAAACTCAAGGGGCCAAAGAGCAGCATGTGGCTCATGAGCCGCAGTTTGCCGACCACTGGGCTACACCATGGGAGTAAGTGTCTTTGCCAATCGTCTGCTTTTCTACAAAGGTTTTTGTTGTTATGACGGCAGTCAGTCAGTTCTAAAAAATGGTCATGCTCGGCTCCAGCTCCTTGACGCGACGACCCAGCTCAACAGACTCCAGCTATGCTTTCGTTTGCTGATGTTTTTACTTCTTACAATGATATGTCTCCGGGGAACTCTGAGGGCAGGCAAGGCTGAGGAGCAGGCCTGGGCCCTGGCTCCCACCATGGGAACAAGCTGAGCGTGGCCTTGAGGACGGTGACTGGAGACGAAATGAGAGGGCTGCCTGGGTCTCGAGACCAGGCCAGTGAAGGGGCTGTGTGGGTCTCCCCTGGTTTTTAAGAGAAACGGTTCTAGGTGTTAGATCTGATGTTAGTTGATCAGTGGAAATAGGCACTGACCTGTGGGTGGAGGGACGTGGTCTGGCTGGCGAGAAGAATCTACCTGGATGTGTGGAAGTGATGTTCTTGCTGGCTGCATGGGAAACAGAAAGGAGGTGGTGCCCAGGCAGGCTGCTCCTACCTGCGTGTCGGCCCTCGTTCTGTCAGGAAGACCATCTGCTGACTCGTTGGCCTAAGCACAGGCTTCTTCAGAGGGGTCAGCGCTCCTTAGAGCCTATGCAGCTTTTGTGCTTTTAAACCATTTTTTTTTATTTTATCCATTACATTCTTTCATTTTTTAGCTACTGCAGGCTTTTGCTCAGGGGTTTAACGGGCAGTCAACCCCTACTCAAAGCAGACTCCTGCTACGCTTTCCTTTGTTGAAAAGCCTTTATTGTTCTAAATGATACGCCTTGTCTCCTGGGAACTTTGGGGGCAGGCTTGGGGGCTCAGTGCGGCCCAGCTGCTGCAGCAGCCTGACTGGCTCCTCACCCCGTCAGCACCTCCTGCCTTCCGGCTCCTCAGACAACAGCCCTCCCTCGGGCAGCAGGTCCCTGCGGCGGTGGAACCTGCAGGCAGCCTGGTGGCTGTGACGTGGGCCGCTGCTTTAAGTCAGGACATTCCATCCCCGGTCTGAACCCCTGTGGCTCTGTGACAGGAGACAGTCTTCTCTTTTGAAATGTATGCCTGTCGTGGCTAACCTGTACGATCGTAGAAGGCCCTGTATGCGAGAATGGGAAAGGAGCCGGGACGAGTTATTTGCTAACTTACAGCACAGCCACAGTAGCAACAAGCCTCTGTCTTGGAGATGGGACCGTCCCCGGGACACAGGATGGCAGAACCGGATGGCCGTGCATCTGCCATACCAGTACCGCGAAGGTCAGTGCCGTCTTCTGGACCCCACGCACCTACCTTACTGCGTGGCCTGCGGAGCAGGGGGCGGGCACTCGCACTCCTGCTGCTCCTTCGCCCCGGCAGGTGGCTCCCAGACCCCAAGGATGGCGACCACGGGCCACGGTGACAGCCTTAGGAGAAATCTCTTGGCAGATCTAGAATTTTCTTCTCCGGTCCTTGCGTGGAACGGAAGTAAAGCAGGATCCAGGTGAGATGTGACGGAAGGAGAGGTGGTTTTCTGGGGAACACACATGTGGCTGTCAGGCCTCCGAGCCTCCGCAGTCCACTCCGGTCCTGGGAGAAGCCTGAACGTCCCCTTTTCCTCCCTCCCAGCATGGCAGCAATGCTTTCATTCCCTGGCTCTGAATAACTTTAAATAAAGACAATCAATCCAAAATGCATTTAGTTTATTACCTTGTAAGAGCAGTCTGGGAAAGGTATCTCAGTTAAAAAATAAATTATTGGATTATATTATTGAATTATGAGAAATTTAAAGATCAAAGGGCTGTTTAAAATGCTGCTTGTATCTGTATGTTTTCTTCCCACCACCCCAAACTCAAATCTGACAATTTACTTTTCTCTCTCAATCCAGGCTGCATAGTTCTACTGACCGCCATTTCAGTCCGCCCTGCTTGTTCCCACGGACGGCGGGAGAATGAGAATGAGCCGGCCCTGCCCAGCGCCAAGGGTAAGTGTCCCCACGGCCTGGCGTGGAGTGAGGTCTGGCATGTGGACTTTGCTCTGGGTTCCAGGTTTCATGGCAACAAGAAACTCGTCTAAAATGCCAAGATGTGAAACCTGTCGTGGCGAGACACTTTTCTCCTTGAACAAGACCCAGAAATCCTATCGCCAGGCTGAGTTCAGTAAGAGCCAGGCAGGGGGCTGACGGCCCCTCTGAGCACAGCTGGTGCCTCCCTCTGAGGGTGAGACTGGGGAGCCCAGGAGAGAGGAGAGGCTGGTGCTGTCCCTCGCCCCACCCCGCGGGCAGCGCTCCGGCATGAGTCCCGGCTGACTCCCTAACTTCGGGAGGACTCCTGTCTCAGCCACAGCTTGCGGCCCGAGGTGGAGGGTGCCCCTCGGAGCAGGCAGCACCCGGCCTCTGCACAGCAGCCTGCTCTCTGAGGGGCCGCCTTCAGAGGGGGGCCTGGGAGAGGACCATCTTCCTCCGTCCAACCAGGAGTGAGGAAGGCAGCAGGCCCCTGGGTTGGAGCTGAGCCTTCCACGGGCCTCCTGCCAGAATGCTGGCTTTCCCCAAAGGCCCGCAGGGCAGGGAAAGGGGGAGAGGAACCTGGCGCTGACCAGGACTGGTTTCACTTAAGAAATTGTCCTCTGCCCTTGAACCCTAACAGTCCATAGAGTTTCAGGAAAGAGCATTTGGAGCAAGGCCTGTGTCGCCCTCTTGGCTGGCTGGGGGCCTTCCCAAGCGGCGACCGCCTCAGCGCTGGGTGTCCAGGGTCCTGGGTTTGTACACGGGCACGTCCTTGTCGCAGAGCGCGGGCCGCCCCCTGATGATGTCGGCCGCTTTCTCCGCCATCATGATCGTGGGGGCGTTCAGGTTGCCGCTCACCACGCTGGGCATGATGGACGCGTCGACCACACGGAGGTTTTCCACCCCGAGCACCCTGGTCTGCGGGTCCACCACGGCCGCGGGGTCGGAGGGCTGGCCCATCTTGCAGGTGCACGAGGGGTGGTAGGCGCTGTCGGCTTTCGCCCGCACAAAGGCGTCGATCTCTTTGTCGGACTGCACGTGGCTTCCCGGCTGGAGCTCTTTCCCCCGGAACGGTGCCAGGGCGTCCTGGGCGAAGATCTCTCTGGTCAGCTTCACGCAGTTGCGGAAATCGTGAATGTCGGCTTCTGTGGAGGGGAAGACACAGGTGAGCGTCCTCTGACCACGCCGGCCTTGCAGGCAGACTCGGCCTGCAGAGGCTCAGTCAGCTGCCCGAGGGGAGACCGTTCAGGACGCGGAGGTCCCGGCCACCAGGCTGCTTGTGGCCTATCGGGTTCCTGCCCTCCCCACAGGCGGCGGCGTGCAACCGAACAGAGTCCCATGAAGCCCCACCAGGGAGCAGGCAGGATGAACACGCGGGCCTCAGAGGCCCAGGTGTAAATCGGGGCTCTGGACCGTATCTGCACGTTAGGAATCGGAACTCACGCCTGGCCTCTGCCACCGGGTGGCTGGGAGGCCCCACGGCTTTACCCGGCATAACCCGCCGATGGGGAGCGCTCATTTCTGCTGTGTGCAGAGAGGCAGGCGGGGAACAGTCGCTGTTGAAGGTGTTCACTGTCACAGAGGAAACACGCTCTGAGCTGTGTGTACACAGCCAGGTCGCCGCCGTGACCCTCCGGGTAAGTTGCTTTGAGAGCCATACATCTCTCCTCATGTGGTTACCTCAAGGGATCCACCCCCCCCCCCCCCCGGGCACCACACAGCGGCGTGTGTACGTGTGCGGACTGGAATGATGGGCGGAGGGAAGACAGACTGTGTCTCAGAAACAAACCCACAAAGCAGCCATTGGGTCCGTGACCGGCAGGCGCAGGCCTGGGGGGTACACAGGTGCCAGGGAGTTATTACCTGTGGACAAGTAGTTGGGCTGCAGCACAGGGTGGTCGTGCGGGTTGGCGCTCCTCAGCTTGAGCCAGCCCACACTCGTGGCCCGCATGGTCCCCACGTGCACCTAGGTGAGTGCAGAGGGAGCAGTCACTTCACCAGCCCCAGCTCGGCTCAGAGAGGTCCCAGCTTTCCCGTGGGTGGGCCTCTGCACCCGAAGTCAGTTAAAAGCAGGTGTGTCCTAGCATCTGCCTGCGTCTCACCTGCCCACCCTCCACAGATTAAAAACCACCTGATGGAGCACTCCTGCCTCTATAACCGATTGTCCAAAACTTTCAGGAGCTGGCAAGCCCTGGGCAGAGTTGGTGCCATGGGCCCACTCCCAGTGCTCAGTGCCAGCAGCAGCTGCCCTAAGCTGTGTTGGCCTCACCTTTCCCGCTGCGGGCGCACTGCCTGTCCCTGCTCAGACGTACGGAGCTTGTGCTTGTGCACTCCCCACCCGGAAGGCCCTGCTGCCGTGGGGAAGACGGAAAGGATGGGACTCTCTGCTCACCTGGTAAGCCTCCTCCTGGGTGGGGACTCGCCCATGGTCAATCACTTGGGACGGCAGGAAGTGGAACTGGATGTCCGGGTGGGAGACCCCAGGCCGGCTCCTGATGAACCCTCCTGTCTCCAGATGGGCCGTGGCTCCGTCCCCTGAGGAGTGGAAGAGAAGTCAGTCAGGGCAGGGCGTGGGGGCCGGCCTCAGAGCCCCGGTGCGCCTAACCTGTCCTTCCTTTCCCCACAGGTGGACTCACCGGCACCCCAGCTTCCACTGTCAGCTGCCTGTCTACCTGTCGCGAGTCTTCAGCTTTGTCTCTCCCCCCGACTCCACCACGGAGACTGTGCTGTGAGGCCTGGGGTCCCACAGGTAACCCTAACCTGGCCTGTCTTCCTCATGACCAAGCCCTCCCCGCTCAACCTCCCGCCACGATTGCCATCTCTTTGGCCCAACTAATGAGATGCCTAGTCTAGGCGCCTTTGCACATACTCTTCCTGCCTTTCGGATCTCCTGCTCTTTTCTCTCTCAGTACTTAACACTTAACATGGCTACCTGATTCTCTCCTCTGTCACCCTCCTTCCTGGGACTTCTCATTCACTTCCTGGACTTGGAAGTCTATTACTCTCACCAGGTAGGGGAAGTTTTCTGTCATTATTTCTTCAAACAGGTTTTCCGTATCTTGCTCGCTTTCTCTTCTCCTTCCAGCACCCCCCTAAATGCAAATGATGGTGCCTAGTAGTTGGCTTGCTTCCATTTCATTTAGTGTCTCTTTTTGGAGATTTCTTCTGTCCATTTGTGACATGTTTCTTTGTCTCTGCATTTTGGCCGCTTCCCTGTGTTTGTCTCTATGTATTATGTGGAGCTGCTCTTCTCCTGGGATTGGCAGAGTGGCCATGTCCAGTAGGTGGCCTATAGGGCCAGTGGCTCAGCCTCCCCAGTCACCTGAGCGGGGCACTCTAGGTGCACCCCTTGGTGGGCTGTGTGCACAGTCTTGTTTGTAGTTGAGTCTTACTTGCTGTTGACCACAGGCCAATTGGCTGTGAGGACCGGCTGTGACTGCAGTGGGAGGGCTGATGTGCAGGAGATGGCCCTCTGGAGCAGGATTTGCTTCCGTAGGGCCTTGGTGCTCAGTGAGTCTGCCCCTTGAGTGAGCTGTTTGTGGATATGCAGAGCTGTAGTCTGGTATGGTCTGAAGCTGACCACTGGATGCACTGGCTCTGGGGTCTCCTGGGAGGTGCAAAGTCAGCCACTGCCTGGAGCCACCTTGCAAAGGCCACAGAGCCACCTACAGATGGCCACCACTTGTGTTGGGTCTGGAAGTGCCCAGGTGGGCCAAACTGTCTTGGGCCTCTTGTCGATAGGTACTGGGCACGCTGACACCAGCTCTTGCTTGAGAGATTTTAACAGTCTGATGCCTGAGCGACAGGCCAATCCTATGGAAAAGCTGCTACAAATTGGATGTGACGAGGTCTCAGGGAACAATGTAGGCCTGGCTGATGGAAATGCAGATATGGCTGCCAGTCAGCTTTGCCACTGGAGGTCTGAGGGGTGCTCGCAGGGCTCACTGTTCCCGAGTTTTTGCTCAGATGCCAGGCAATCCAGTTCCTCCCCATAAGTTCCTGGCTCCCCTGAAGCCGTTGCCCCAGCACCAAACTCTGATGGAGTGAGTCTGTGTAAGTTCATTCCTTTAAGAATTGCCTCCTTGTCACTATCCCCGCTGGTTTTTACAGTCCAAGGTTAGAGGGACTTCTTTTCCCAGCTCTGGAACCCTGGGCTGGGAGTCTGGTATGGGGCTGGGACCTCTCACGGGAGACCTCTGCAGCTGAGCTATTCCTCCCAATTAAAAAACAAAACAAAAAAACACCTGGATGTCAGACCGGCCTGTTCGTGCCTCCGCTCCTCCTACCAGTCTTCCTGTGCCATATTCTTTACTTCTCTGGTTGTAGGATGTCCGTTCAGCCAGCTTTCAGGTGGTTCTGAGTGATGTTCTGCATTTCAGTTGTAATTCTGATGTGGTTATGGGAGCGGCGAGCACCACCTTTACCACCTCGTGGTTCTCCTCTACTTTCTCCTTTGTTTTCTAACTAAGAAATGGATGCTTTTCTATAGTCCAGCACCAAATGCCTTTTCTCCTGGCTCCTTGGCCACCTCATGGTGCCCAGCACCAGGCCATCCCCCTCCATCGGAGGGAAGAGCAGTACCTAGCCCTGAGGCATCTCACCCAGGTCAGGCCCTGTGCTACTGAGTCTGTCCTCCCATTAGGTAGGAACTGTGTATCCCATTTTTCAGATGGGAGAGCTGAGACAAATGTCCCCTCCCCAGTCCATACTAACAAAACCAGCAATCTGGGGGCAGAGCCCTTGCTCAGCAGCCTGCCCACAGACCATCTCTACCGACCTGTGAACTTCCAGAGCCACTCCAGACCAATCCGGACCTTCCTCAGGGGCTTCTGTGCTGTGTGGAGGGTGATGGGGCGGGTGCATGCCTGCTGGATGTATATCTCCAGGTGGTCTTGCAGGTTCTGACCGACTCCTGAAATAGGAGGGAGTGGTGAGAAGGACTACCAAGGGGAGCTTAGGTGACCTCTCAACATCCCCCTGGTTTTAAAACTTCTCCCCTACCCACTTATCTGCAGGCCCCGGGTCACCTCCCAGGGACACCATTCTGCACTCCTGGCCAAGTCCAGCCCCCTCAGATGTTGCCAGAGCCACCCATGGAGTTGCCTTCCTGCCAAGCAACTGGGCAGGGCCCACGTGTGCTGCAGGTAGTGCTCAGGAAGCTGTCACTGAGTGGCTGACAGCCCCACCTCACCTCTGGCCAGGGGAAGCAGGCCCCCTCAGGCTGTGCAGACCCTGCAGGAGCTCATCCAAGCTCAAGGGCATGCTGGGCAGGTTACTGTCATGGCACAGCACTCTCACAGACCCCTTATGAGGAAGCCTCAATGCAAAACGGCCAGGTCTCTGGGAGCTGGGGTTAGGAGGGGGCAAAAGGGACAGGCCCCAAAGGGCATCCAAGACAGTTTGTAACATAAATTGCAGGCCTGGGGCACTGTCTGAATGGGAGAAGCATGCCCAGGAGTGCTGAGCTAGCATCTTTAACATCAGAGCAAGTGGTGAGTACTGAGGATGGAAAACCCAGAGGCTGGGCCCCTCAGCACAGAGCTGCCCTGGTGACCTGCTGAGCCTGGCCCAGCAGGCGTTGCGGGCAGATGCTCCCTGCTACCGGGCCTCGCCTCTCAGCAGATTGGTAGCTCTCCTCCTGTCCCTGGCCATCCTAAGACCTGGGGGAGGGGCCTCTGGGGGACCTTCAGGCTCATGAGAAAAAATGGGACAGTTATAAAAGCACCGACTCCTGCCCCTCCCCAGTCCACACTAACACAATACACCGTTCTGTTTAGCAGAGACCCCCTCCAGGAGCAGGGGAGAAGGACACTCACCCGGAAGGTGGCACACCACGGGGATGCCCAGCTTCTTGAGGTCGTCTGCGTTGCCGACGCCGGAAAGCATGAGCAGCTGCGGGGAGTTGATGGCACCTCCGCTCAGAATCACCTCCTGGCTGGCGTAAGCCTGGAAGAGGCAGCGGGCCCGGCAGGTCACACTCCCCTCCCAAAGGCAGACAGACAGAGAACATGGCCTCGGCGTGGGACTGGGGAGGAGGATGCCCAGGGTGCTGTGTGAAAGCTCCCCACATGCTGGGCTATCGCGTGCGCTCATAAATAAATCACGATTACGCTCTGGAGTATTCTGCGACTGCCAGTAATGTGGTCTTAAAAACAGGACCACGGAACTTAAATGAGAACCACACTCGAATGAGGGGCTCCCATAAAGCACGCAGTGGGGTGAGGACATTCTGGCACACTGCTAAGTAGAAACCAGCACAGTGCAGAGATATGAAGTTCCCCGAAAATAAGTGTGTCTTATATTAATTTTTTCTCTCAAAGTTGCGCTAGGTCTTTTCGGGGAAACACGGTATGATCACGGTTACGGTTCTTAAAACCTACCAACTCCTGAAAAGGTGTGGAAGGTCGGGGGGGGGGGGGGGGGGGACAGGGCTGAGGTGGGGAGCGGCAGGCAGGCTCACGGGGGCGCTTATCCAGGGCACAACAGGCTCTGCAGGTGCCTAACGTGGCCTCCACCCCCAGCTAAGCCCTGGGAACGATCTCTCCGGCCACGGCCACCAGCTGCCCACTCCCCACCACAGTGCTGATGGAGAGCCTGACTGCCGCCCATGCCCGCCCGCCATCCGGACTGCCTGGGGTGCTGGGCTCACCCTGTGGCGCTGGCCGTTCTTGATGTACTCCACGCCCACGGCGCGGGTGCCTTCAAACAGCACCCTGCTCACCAACGTCCGGGCCTCGGCCGTGAGGTTGGGCCGGCTGAGTGCGGGGTGCAGGTACGCGCAGGCTGCGCTCCAGCGTTTGCCTGCAGGACAGAGCGGGGATGTCAGGCACAGCCCCTGGCCCCTGCCCGGGGAGGGGGGTGGGTGAGGGGAGAAAGGGCTGGAGAAAGAGGAAATGTGTCTTTCCCTGACTGTGTCAGCTCTGCCTTCCAAGTAGGGCTGAGACCAAAGACCCTGTCCACGGAAACCCACGTCCACCGGGGGCCCCTGGAGGTTCCATGCCCGTTTCCCCATCTGTAACTCCATTATCCACACCCTCAGGGGCCAGAGACCCAGAGAATGCCAAGGTGTCACACCCCTCCACTCAGACCAGCCCCCAGGGTCCACCCTTACTGACCACTATGCGAGCAGGAGGGAGGGGCTGTAATACTACAGTTTTTTCAGGGAAGAACCAGGGAAGGGGGGCTGGGGGACCGTGGGTGGGCACCTTCCGCTACCTTGGTGGATGGTCATGTCCATCCAGCCGAAGCCCTCCTGCTGGAAGCCGTTCATGTCCTCGGTGAGCGGGTAGCCGGCCTGCTGCGCCGCCTCCAGGAAGGCCCGGTGCAGCGGGTGGTCGGTCTTGCCCCGGGACACGTGCAGGGGGCCTTGGTCGCCGCGGTAGCGGCTGGCGCCCAGCTCGTGGCTCTGCGCCCGGCGGAAGTAGGGCAGGCAGTGCGCATAGCCCCAGCCCGCGGCGCCCTGCCGCTGCCAGCGCTCGTAGTCCTCGGCGTGGCCCCGCACGTACACCATGGCGTTGAGCGACGAGGAGCCGCCCCACACGCGGCCGCGCGGCCAGTACAGCACGCGGCCGTCCATGCCGGCCTGCGGCTCCGTGTGGTAGCACCAGTTGTACCGGTCGTCGCACAGGTTGGCCACGAGCGCCGCGGGCATGTGGATCTTCCAGAGGAGCCGCTTGCTGCCCGCGCGCGTGTCCCTGGGCCCGGCCTCCAGCAGCAGCACGCGCGCGCCCGGGTCCTCGGTGAGCCGGCCGGCCAGCACGCAGCCCGCCGAGCCCGCGCCCACCACCACGTGGCTGTACTCCTGCCCGCTGCCCGCGGCCGCGCCGGCCAGGGCCCGGGAGGCCGGGGGCCGCTGCCGGCCCTGCACCCCCCAGGGGCTCAGGCGCCCGCGCCTCCAGCCGCGCAGGACACACCACATGCTTCCCGTCCGAGTCCTCTGATCTCCACCGAGGGCTTGCTATTCCTAGAGCAGAAAAAACAGGCCTTCAGTGTTTTAACCGGGCATGCAGGTGAAGAGTCAGCCTGCAGCTGGGCAGCCGCCTGGGGCAGGCTCATCACGAAGTCTGCCCAGAACTGGGAGGGACAGGCCTGGCTAGCATAGCCCTGCCCTGGGTCCCCGGAGGAGGGAGCAGAGGCGCAAACAGTTCTGTCAGTACTGCAAGGGTCTGTCAGTACTGCTGGGGCACAGGAGAGAGGCCTGTCCCCAAATCTGGGGAGTCCCCAGAAAGGCTTCTCTGCGACACCTGTGCATGAGCCTGTGGCTGGCAGGAGTCTGTCTGCTGGAGAGCAGAGGAGGTAAGGGCTTTCCAGCTTCCACTCATTCCTCATCCTTTCCAGTCAGCTGCTGAGCCATTCCATCGCTAGCAACACACAGAGAACAGGATACCTGCCCTCAAAACGGATGGTCTGGGGCCAGAGAGACCGATGAGACTTAAATCAGTAACTGGTAGAAAGTCGGGGTGGGGGGCTCTAGACTGCAGAGCTGAAATGAAAGCCCTTGACCCGAGGGCCACAGCATACGCTGGACAGCTTTTCACTGAGGTGGGATCAGAGCGGCTGTTTTCAAAGATCACTCTGGAGAGTGCCGAAGTTCTAGCAAACAAAACGGGGCAGCAGCTTTTGCAGAGTCCATTCCCAGCAAAGTGCAGATCCATCCCCACATGCTCAGTGCAGAGGCAGAAAAGAACTGGAGCTCCTAGACACAAGAACTTCTGAGAAAGCCCAGCCATGAGGCTAGGGCACAAAAAGCCTGCCCGAGACCAGGGCTGCCACAAGGGGCCTGAGAAACCAAGAAAACCCCGATAGACCCCCCTGCCTCTCCAGAAGGCAGCCTACCACTGGCGGCAGGCTGAGGTCAGAGTGCAGAGAAAGGGGCCTCCTGCCCACTGCCCCTCACACAGGCCCGGGGCTCCTGAAGGCCACGCCTGAAGTAGCGACACAGAGAAGAACCTTCCAGCGCCCCAGGCCCCATACCAGCCCCAGGTGGCAGCAGCTCAGCTTCCCACTGGGTTAACTCGGCTCTCCACACTAACGACCTGATAGGGTAAAAGGCATGCCCTTTTCCAGGTGAATTTTATCAAACATTCAGAAAAGGACTAACACCAATCTTCAAACTATTCCAAAATTTTCAAGAGGAGGGAAGACTTCCAAGCTCATTTTGTGAGGCCAGTGTCATCCCAATTCCAAAACCAGATGAGACACTATAAAGAACGAAAATTAGAGGCCAATATCCCTGATGAACGTAGATGCAAAGATCCTAACAAAATATTAGCAAACTACATCTAGCAACACATTAAAAAGATCAGCCCGCGCTGGTCTGGCTCCATGGGCAGAGAGTCTGTCTGCGGATTCTTGGTCCCAGGCTCAATTCCGGTCAAGGCCACGAATCTTGGTTGCAGGCTCCTTCCCAGCCTGGGCCTGGTCAGGGCTCGTGCAGGAGGCAACCAAACGATGTTTCTCTAATATCGGTATTTCTGCCTTTCCCTCCCTCTCAAAATCAATGGAAAAATAGCCTCAGGTGAGGATTTAAAAAAAAATCATATACCATGATCAAGTGGGATTTATTTCTGGGATGCAAGGTTGGTATAATGTCCACGAATCAATTAACATGTGACACACCACATAAATAAAATGAAGGATAAAAAGCATATGATCATATCAATATATACAGAAAAAGCATCTTACAAAATCCAGCACCCATATATGATAAAAACTCTCAACAAAGTGGGAATATAGGGAACATATCTCAATATAATAAAGCCCAGATATGACAAATCCACAGCTAACATCATACTCAATGCACAAAACAAAAAAGTGTTTCCCTTAAAGTAAGAAATAAGACCATTCTTATTTAATAGGTACTGGAAGTCCTAGCCACAGCAATCAAGAAGACATAAAAGGTATGCAAATTGCCAAGGAAGAAGTAAAATTGTCATTATTTGCAGATGACATGATACAGTATACAGATAACCCTAAAGATTTCTTAAAAAAAAAAAAAAAAAACCCAACCCTAGAACTGATAAATTCAGTAAAGTAGAATACAAAATTAATATCCAGAAATTATTGGTAATTTTATATACCAATAATGAACTATCAGAAAGGGAAACTAAAAAAAAAAAAAAAATCGGAGTGTCTAGGAAAAATTAAATAAAATACCTAAGAATAGCCCTAGCTAGTATGGCTCAGTGGATAGAGCGTCAGCCTGCAGACTGAAGGGTCACGGGTTGATTCTAATGAAGGACACATGCCCAGGTTGCAGGCTTGTTCTCAGTGGGGAGCATGCGGGAAGCAGCTGATCAATGATTCTTCCTCATCATTGATGTTTATCTCTCCCTCTCCCTTCCTCTCTGAAATCAATAAGAATACATTTTAACACAAAAGCACCTAAGAATAAGAAAATTATAAGACACTGAAGAAATTGAAGACACAAGTAAAGGGAAACATATACTTATGCTCAGGGATAGGAAGAATTACCATGATTAAAATGTTCATAACTAGCCGAAACCGGTTTGGCTCAGTGGATCGAGCGTCGGTCTGTGGATTGAAAGGTCCTGGGTTCGATTCTGGTCAAGGGCATGTGCATTGGTTGCGGGCACATCCCCAGTGGGGGTTGTGCAGGAGGCAGCCGGTCAATGTTTCTCATTGATGTTTCTAGCTCTCTATCCCTCTCCCTTCCTCTCTGTAAAAAATCAATAAAATATATTTAAAAATAAATAAATAAAATGTTCATAACTACCCAAAGCAATCTATGGATTCAATGCAATTCCTATCAAAATAATAGCATATTTCACAGACCTAGAATAAATAATCCAAAAATTATACAGAACCACAAAAGGCCCCAAACAGCCACAGCAATCTTGAGAAAGAAGAACAAAGTATTACCTACCTGATATTAAACTATACTACAAGGGTTTAGTTATCAAAACAGGATAGTCATGGGATAAAAACAGGCACATAGCTCAATAAAACAGAACAGAGAGCCCCAAAATAAACCAACACTTATATGAACAATTAATATTTGACAAAGTAGGTAACAAAATACAATGGGGAAAAGACAGTCTATTCAATAAATGGTGTTACAAAAATTGGACAGCAACAGGCAAAAATAAAATTAGACCACCTTCTTACACTATATACAAGAATAAACTAAAAATGGATTAAAGACAAATATAAGACTTGAAACCAGAAAACATAGGCAATAAAATCTGACATTTCTCTTGTAATTATTTTTTGATATATCTCCCCAGGCAAGGAAACAGAAGAAAAAATAAAATAAACAAGTGGGACTACCTCAAACTAAAAAATTTTTGCACAGTTAAGGAAATAGTCAACAAAATGAAAAGACAACCCACTGAATAGGAGAACATATTTGCCAACGATACATCTGATAAGGGATTAATATGCAAAATATATAAAGAATTCATACAACTAAAATCCAATTAAAAATGGGCAAAGGACCTAAATAGATGCTTCTCCAAAGAGGACGTACAGATGTCCAGTAGACATATGAAAAGATGCTCAATGTCACTAATCATCAGAGAGATGCAAATTAAAACCACAATGAGAGAGCACCTCACACCTGTCAGAGTAGCCACCATCAATACATCAACAAACAAGTGTTGGAAAGGATGTGGAGAAATGGGAACCCTTGTGCACTACAGGTGGGAATGGAGATTGGTGCAGCCACTATGGGACACCATATGAAATTTCCTCAAAAAATTAAAACTGCCTTATGATCCAGTGATTCAACTTCTGGACATATATCCAAAGAAACCCAAAACACTAATTTGAAAGAACTTATGCATCCTTATGGTTCATTGCAGTAGATTATTTACAATAGCCAAGATACGGAAGCAACCCAAGTGCCCATCAATAGAGGACTGGATAAAAGAATTGTGGTACATATATACAATGGAATATTACTCAGCCATAAAAAAGAATGAAATCTTACCATTTGCAACAGCATGGATAGGCCTAGAGAATATTATGCTAAGTGAAATAAATCAGTCAGAGAAAGACAAATACCATATGATTTCACTTTTATGTAAAATCTAAAGCACAATATAAATGTACCAACAAAACAGAAACAGACTCATATAGAGACTCATAGATGGTTGCCAGAGGGGAAGAGGGAGTAGGGAGCTATGTGAAAAAGATGAAGGGTTTGAGAAATCTATATAATAAAAAAGAAACATGTAAATTGACCATACCTCCATGACACCCACCAGCCAATCAGGAGTATGTAAATTAACCCAATAAAGATGGCAGGTTAATTTGTATACACAGGCGCCAGACAGCAGAGCGGGAAAGCCAGTGGCTTGGAGGGATGTGGCTCCATTGGTCGCTCCCCTCACGCTGCTGAGCAAAGAGTAGAGTGGGAGAACTGGCAGAGAGTGGAGTGGCTTGGGGGTCTTGACTCCCCAAGCTGCCAGAGGGAGAGCAGAGAGGAAGAGCTGGAGACTTGGAGGACTTGGCAGAGCAGGAGGCCTTGGGATGGAGACAGAGCAGGAGGGGAAAACCAAGGGTGTGAGGAGCACCACCAATTCTGGGAATCATAGTTCTGGTGGCAGACAGATCCTAGTGGTAGGCAAACAGAGCCAAATATCAATAGGACAATTGAAATTTCTTTTGAGAGCCAAATTTTTTAAACTTAAACTTCTTCTAAAGCTATTATACTTCTTCAAAATAGACTCCCCCAGGCCGTGGTATTTTGTGGAAGAGCCACACTCAAGGGGCCAAGGAGCCTCATGTGGCTTGTGAGCTGAAGTTTGCCGACCAAGGTCTTAGACACTAGAGCCAAGTGAGCCTAGAGCAAGTTACTGTTGCGGTGGGGGTAGGGGTGGGGGAGCAAAAGTGAGAGACATAAGTAAAATCGGAGTGTCTAGGAAAAATTAAAAGGAAGATATCCTAAAACTTCCA